TATCAATGATTTAAATATCTTAGTTCTTTTTTTAATTTTATATTTTTAAAAGATATTAACAATCGATAATATGGTTATTTTTGGTATATACCATACAAACCGAATGGATGTGATTTTATAAAAACCATAGGATTTGGATATGGTTTGATTTATAATCGATTAAACTGAAACATGTAAATATGTATATATTTATAACGACACATGAATATCTATTTGTTACATGAGTTAAACTATAATTATAATTTGTAAATAGCTAACAATTTATTACAACTAAGATTTCTTATTTTGATCTTTTGCTTTTTTAACAGTAACTAAATTGAAGTAAAGATTATAAATTTGATGGACAACAATTAGTTGAAATTCTTTACAACTTTTTTTTTATCTTTAAAAAAAACAGAGTTGTGTTCAATCGAAGACATATTGGTTTGATGAACACTAAATATGGAAGAATATAAAAACTTTTCTTTCATGCTTCTGTTTTATTTTTATTTTTATTTTCAAAATTTAGTGTTTTGATATTAATTCTAGATTTGATTATTTTATTAGAGGATAGAAGCCTTTTTGTTTTTTATTCTTTTATTTAAATATATAATATTTTTTAATAAATGATTCTGTGACAATATGACTCTAAATATGATCATATATATATATTTTTATAATATATAATATGATCTCAAACTAAATAATTATGTTTTTTGGTATAAAATTGAATAAACTGAAAACCGATGGTATATAAACCAAATCAAACTGAAGTACATATAGATTTAGAATAGTAATTATATTTTAATGATCGAAATACCAAAAAATCAAGCCGAACCGAAACCCGATATCCGGATTGAACACCTCTAATCCGAATGAAACCGAACTATTGTTTCATTTTTAAAAACATAATAAAAATAATAGATTCATCCCGCGCAAGGCGCGGGTCTTATCCTAGTATATATATATATATATATATATCCAAGTATAAGAACTTTGCACACCTATACAAATTAAGAAAAATGGAAGAGAGAAAACTAGTGATCAGAAATACATAACTATTGATGCAAATTGGAGCAACTTATCCAAAGCAGTTGACGAAAACTTGCGAGCAAACAGAAAACAAGGCCTCGTCTTATCCACTCCATTGTGTTCACAATACTCTTTGTCACCACTCTTCCTAAGCCACTTCAAGAACTCCACATTCACCTCCGGCCCACCAAACGATCTCGGATGGGCCCTATGCTTCCCCCAGTCAGTCCACGTCAGCGTCCTGTTTGAGTTACGCGACCCAAGGCTTGGTATCAAGTTGAGTAACGTGGGGATATAGTGCTCATCGGGACAGCGAGAGTATGCCTTGAAGATGGGCCAGTAGAATGTGTCGGAGACGGTCTCCAGGGCCGTGGTTCGGTCTAGCTCGAACCATTGAGAGCCTTTGCGCCAGTGGTGCAAGTGGACGTGTGGATACATACGGCGCTTGTAGCGGACGCGGCCGAAGGGGAGGTCGTAAGAGTCTACGTGGGTTTGAGTGGAGTTGATGAGGTAAGAGTAGATAGTGGTGAAGTTGAAGAGAGGGATGCATGATTCGGAGAGTAGAAGGAAACGCTCGTTGTTGATGTCTAATAACGCGTTTGCTAGTAACCTACGTTCTGCTTCTACCACGTTTGCGTCTGCCCAGTCTACTCTCTGCGTTTATACATAATGACGTCAGATTGTGACTTAGATACCAATTTATGT